TCTTTATTGTTATTTATTTATTTATTTATTTTGCTGTTCTTTTTTACTATTATATATATTTATCACAGTGTAATCTCCATGGGCTTTCCACCACCAAGTCACCCATGTGCCATCACCGTAGTCCAGTATACTCTTCCCATCCCAGTTCTGATCCCATTCCCATTTCTACCCCTATAAAATGTCTCTGGTTTAGTTGTTCATTTTTATTCATTTACATTTGTTTCTCTCACTCTTCCCCCACCCCCACCTCCCCCCACTGATCCCTTATGCTCCTGCTAGTAGTGAAACCATCTGGCATTTTTCCTTTTCTTTCTGGCTTATTTCACTAAGCATGAGCTTAGTGAAATAAGCTTATTATTGAGCTTATTATGGAGCTTATTTCACTAAGCTCCATCCATGTTGCTGCAAAAGGCATGCATTTATCTTTTTTGGTTGCTGAGTAATATTCCATTGGGCATATGTGCCAAATCTTTTAAATCCAGTCATCTACTTTTGGGCATTTGAGTTGATTCTATGGCTTTCCTATTGTAAATAGAACAGCAATAAACATGGGGGCACAAGTGTCTTTTTGAATCAGTGCTCTTGTGTCTTTTGGGTAGATACCTAGGAGTGGGATTGCTGGGTCATACAGAAGCTCTAGTTTTAGCCTTTTGAGAAACTTCCGAACAGCTTTCCTTAGTGATTGTAACAGCTTGCATTCCCACCAGCTTTCTGTATCTTAATGTCTGTACTCCAAGTAGCTACAACCAAATAGAGCCCCATGAGGTACTCTGGATGACACAGTACCTTGTGATCCAGTAATATTAGAAAAACTTTCCTCATATTAAAAGTATTTACAGTAGTAAAAAAGGGAATACCTGAAGGTACAGTCTAATGGATGAAATAACACAATTGCCTTACAGTATCACCCAGTCTTCACAGGTGATGACATCACTCATTCGTCAAATGGAGAGGTGGTCTCAGAAATTACCCAGTGAAAGTAGAAGACAGCAAAACATCACACATGGTTTTGATACATTTTTGCAAACATATGTAAATAGATGTAGGAAAGGATGATCATTTTTCTTATTTTATATTAATTTATATATCTATTTACATTATTATTCATTTTAAAAAGTTTACTGCCCCGCTCCTCCACTTTGCCCACCCATCATCACCATAGCCCTCACCATCTTCCGATCTTCCCTCTCTCCTTCCGATCCCTCTCTGACCCCCAGCCCTGTAGGCTATCTCTGGCTTATAAATGTCTGTTTGTTTTTGCTTTGTTGTGTTGTGTTTCAGATTGTAAAAATGATACATTTTTCTTCCTTCCCCCTATGTCTTCTTTGGTTCTCTTATATTCCTCCTAAAAGTATCCCTTAGCATTTTAATCAGATTTTCTGTCAATGGTAGGATTTAGATAATTTTTTATTTCTGTTGTATAATTTTCTGTCATGCTTGACTCTGTAATTGATTCCTTATTTTCAGGCATAAAGTTTAGATATGTTTATATTTCTAAAAAAAAAAAAAAGCTACTTCTCTTTAAAAAAAAAAAATACCCATTTTATTCCTCTTCAACACCTGGAGACATAGCATTTAGAGCACTTACCACATGCCAGCAGAGGTACCTGATTACTTATCAGACTTCTAGCTAAAATCTGAGCCCTACTTATAGCAGTTTTCATCAATGCTGCATCCCTGGGTTTAATACAGGGCGTGGTGCATTACAGGTGCTCAACAGATTTTAACTGGTCACTTTCACCCAATATCTTCTTTCTCCCAAACCTGGCTGTAGTGTAAATATCTGTATCTCTGCCAAGTACCACATGATCTTTAAGATACTGTAGGATATCTATACTGGAGGACATTCATATGTCAATTTGGAGGCAAGCTGTTTTAACTTTCCATGCCTGACTTTCCCACTTTTGGAAATGCAAGTAATAATACTATATTCCTACTATGGTTGTTGCAAGGGGCATTGTTGATGGTCGCAGTGTCAATCAAGGTGGCTGGAACATCGCAGTATTGAATTTGCCTGCATTTTGTAGAGAGTGTATGTTCCAGAATACTACATATGTGCATACACATACTGATGTGTTATATATAAAAGCTTTAAAAGGAAGGATATTGATGATGACTATCAGGGAAGGAAGCACTGAAAGTCCTTTCAAGGATCCCTTATCATCATAGCATTTTGCTCTTTGCGCTATAGATAGAGGACTCTTAATAACTTTTTGTGTCTCCTCTTGCCGCTTGCTAATTATCTCTGCTGCTAGCGATAATCTTTTCCTTGGCACAAAGCCAGGAACCTGTCATCTACTCATGGATGTCTACAATTGATTCTGTACATCATTGAGTATATCAACCAGTATCTACTCAATCATTATCTCCCCCTGGTAATTATTTACTAAACGGAAAGATTCATGAAACATCTGCTTTATATCACAGTACAACTATTACAGTCAATCCCCACTGTTCCCCTTAAGCAACTGACACAGCAATGTTTCTTAGAAACAGAGATATTTTCAAAATGGTATTTTTTTTTCTTTGAGATTCTGTGCAACAGCTCATGCATTTTCACAAGTGTCATACACTCAACTTCAGAGCAAGAATGTTTCTTAATATGTTAATATGTAATACAGAGTATTTAAAAGATGGCAGTACAGCTTGGAACATGTATTTTCTGCATTCTTAAATTGCAACTGGGGATCACAATTAGGCACATCTCCTCCCATGAAATCTAGGAGTTGCATTTTAAAACCAACAAATGGGTTTGTCACATGCGCACAATATCATGGTAGGCAGACCAAACTGTTCACAGATGAAAGGAAGCTTTGACTATAAACTCGGTTAGAACATAAGTGAGAAAGCCAAGGAGAGGGGAACCTGGCAGGAGTGGAAATCACGAGAATCATACCAACACTGTTGCTGTTACTGTAACTTCTGGCCACAAAGAAGCTTCCGTGAGCAACAGATGGGGGTGTCTGGCAGTTAATAGCCTTATTGACAGGTATATCCTGCCAGCTGTACCCTATTCTGATTTCCGTGAGCACTGGGGTCACATAATTTCCCTTGTTAGGATCAACATGTAGTTTGTCAGGCAAAATCAAGCATCCCATGTAATTAAATGTAATAAATTACATACAGCTTGTTAATAATCCATAGCCCAATTTATTTTCTAAAGTCACTATTTTCATGTTTTAGTTTCTGGATTTCAAAACAGAATCATACCCAATACTGTAATAACTTCACTAAATTAATGTAGCTCTGGGCAAATTGATGAATTAATAACACATCTCTCTATTGATAGAAAATTACTGAATAGAGAATGAGGAATTACTGCATGTAACTATTCAAGTATTTACATGACAATGTTTCCCCAATTATAGGTTAGAGATACTAGGAAACAGAAGAATTATAAGTTTGTACAAAAAGTTAACAATTCCTAAACGCTGTACAAGAGAAATCAGTGATTTCTTTTGCATATTGTAGACTTCCTTTTACCAGTATTTGGACAGCTCAGTGCTAAGAGGGAGAATGGAAATGCCAAATTCCACGCAGTAATATGTGGGTGACACCAGTTGAACAATGTTAAGGGCTTCCTATCTGGAAAAACAACATGGAACATTTATTCCAGGACTTTGTTGAATGAAAATATCTAAGAATTATTTCTATAAAATGTGAATGTTTGACATGGAAAGAAGAGAACACAATTTAAATTTTCTTTTGGAATGAAAATATAAATTTACTATTGTATTACCTGCTTTGCATCTTTTCTCACACTTATACAGCCTGAGTTTATACTAAATTCTAGGTATTGTGCAGGACAATTAGGCTACACAAAATACACTCTCTTTGTGGAGTCAGCTGTGTTTCAATGGACTTGGAGCAAATCATTACATCAAAGCAGCGTTAACAGAAGTGCACACCAAGGACAGACCACAGTTCAACCATGTCCTGACTCTTGAGCTATGACAACCATATACCTTAAGATATGATAATCAAATATGTGTTTTAATCTCCTACTCCCTCTTTCTCCTTGTTACTTGTCTTCCCTGCCCCCACTTTCTCTCCCCCCTCCTCTTCCTCTTTGCCTCCTATCCTCATCTTTCTCCTTTTCTGTTTCTCTTCCTTTCTTCCCTCTCTTCCTCTTCCTTCCTTTTTTCTTCCTGCTAAGAAGCATGCTGCTACCCAGTATGTTTGAGGATTTAAATCCTAAAAGCATATTTCTCAGAGGAAAATTTCTTCAAATAAATGTAGCAATAACTCCCATGGATATGAAGTGTTCACAAGCTCAAAAAAAAACTTGCCCTTTATCTTAAAGATGATTTCATTCTAATAATAATCTAAAACATATAAACACATTTTGCAATAATAGTTCACAATTTAAATACATTTTCATTTAGTATTGCTCTTCATTGATATAGAAATGTTGCTAATTATTTGCAAGAAAAAATATCTTCATATTTTTATTGAAATCACAAACAGCTTTTATACATGAACTAGAAGTCAAATTATTCAGAATGTCAGCCCTTTAAAGATATGAGTTTATGAAGCAGTGTTCATCATATTTGAGTTCCATTTGGGCTAAACTTGGGTAGATCTATTAAAATACAAAATCTAAAGAAAAGCACTGATGAGAAATATCTATCTCACATTTAGAATCATCCTTATATCCCATAGTAATATTGCTGAAGCTAAAAGTAGCAATCAACATTAAAAAAATATTTTGTCTCTCCTCTTCTTTCCTCCAGGTCACGCTAGAAGAAAGGCATTGGGTGTTACTGGGACATAGCAAGAGACATATACCTTGGGAAGTGTTCCCAAATGCCTAGTACTGAACATCTAGGTGGCTTTCCTCACCCTAACACTAGGCAATAATGTCTGGAAAATAAATTTATATTTCTCTCCCTGATTCAATTCCACCGTATAACTTTCTAACAAAATAGTGCTTCATAATATACATGTACTTGTATTTAAAATTAAGTACTTGTATTTAAAATTAAGAAATATTCACTTACCATGATAAATTTGTAACAGACATTGTAGCGATTTGTGGAGAAGTCTTCTCTTGGTTTCACTACAGGTTATGAGTAGATCAAGTAGCCAAGAACACTAGGGATTTTAGCTCTGCTTTCAGGATGATGCAAAAGCCACTTAGTTACCCACAGTTTGATGAGACCTTAAAGAAAAGAACAAAGTGATATCTACAGTAAGTGGTCTACATGGCTTTTCACCAATTTATTTCATCTAGGTCAATAGTTTTTGTCATGGTATAAGATACAACAGAAAATATGAATTGATTTCTTAAAATGACTTGTTGTAAAACAGTGATAAAAGTAAATCAACACTATGATGCCTTAACATTAAAAGAAATTCAAGGTTAATAAAATGTTCATTCCCTAAAGTAGAAAACACAAAGAAAAAATAGAATGTGCTTTTTTCTTAGAGACAAACATTTATGCTCTCTAAGTTCTATACAGTGTCAAAATGATCAAAGATACTGCTAACCCATTGCTATCATTACAAAGCCTTAATCAAGATGTTCCCTACTATATCTGAGCAGTAATAATACTGGAGATGCTTCAGAAATTAAAAATAGAAGTTTCAGGCCTTCCCTGGATGGGTTCAATAGATTAAAGCGCAGCACTGCAAAGCCATCAGTAGCTGCTTTGGCACCAGTACCATCCCCGGCCAGGGAGGTGACCCACATGGTACAGCAGATCTCTCCTGCCTCACCGCACTAGTCCCTTCTGCAGTGTATTTTACTGGGTCTGCCTGTTCTGCTCACCACTCTGTCTCTGGTGAATCTCTCACTGCTCCCACACCCCAAACTTCCATGTTTATTGCAGCATTATTGATAATAGTCAAGAACATCATAATTGTTCACCAACTGACAAAAGACAAAGAAGATGTGGTATATGTTCATAATGGAATACTATTCAGCTACGTGTGCACATACATGATTAAATCCTACCATTTGCGGCAATATGCATAGATCTAGAGGGAATTATGCTTAGTGAAATAAGTCAAACAGAGAACGACAAACACCATGTTATTTCATTTATACCTAGCATACAAAGAAAACAGAGAAACTAAATAAAGTGAAAATAAACTTTGGGCTAGAAGACCAACTAGTAGTTGCCAGAAAGTAAATGGAGTGGGGTGGAGCAGATAAATCAGGAAAAAGGGGACAATGATATGGTGGAGAATAGAGTTGCATTTTTAGCTAAGACTCTAATGTGGTGTATATACTTGCTGATTCTCAACAATGAACAACTAAAATTTATGTATTAAATGCATGCTACTTCAATTTAAAAAATGTAAAAAAAAAAAGTCCTTGTGCCTTATGTTTCAAAAAGAGTTCATTCTTTCTCCCGTACTACAATGGTCCTGAAATAAGAATCCTTTGTCTGTTGTACTCTGGTGTAATTTTTCTCCCCTTAAAGTTTAGAGAAACTTCCAGATTCTGGCAATAATGCATAAAGTGCTATATTTTCCTCAATGTCCTAAACTTGCAATAACTTCCAACATGGATTTTGATAACCATATGTTAAATATAAATGAGTAAAAATGAAAGAGAATTTCATTTTTCTGATTTCAGACCTAGATATTAATAAATGAGCATCTGAACACAAAAATTCACAGTGATCATTCATCGTGAATATAATAATCGTTCCTAACACTTCTATTTGTACTTTATAACTGTGTCATTTTCTCAAGGACATGTACCCATCAGGCACTCAATAAATATGACTGAATTAAATAACACAGTCTACTTTTTGGATGTGAAGCTTAGTAAAGGCTCCGGTGGTAATGGATTTATCATTTCATTCAATTTTTTTTTCTAGGCATCTTTACGTATAATGATATTTTTGTGATTGTATTGTCTCTTTACTGAAGTCACACTGGTTATATATATATGTATATAAATATATATTTATACTATATAAACTGTATATAATTCAGCGGCACAGGTTCACAAGTCTTCAGATATATGTTGCCATAGCCCACCCACCACCAAGATACCCAGGTCTTCCACCAGAGCCCATTAAGTCCATCCACGTTTTGTTCTTTATCCTCCTCCACCCCCTCTGGTAAGCTTAATTTTACAGTCAGATTTCTAGCATTTGTTTTGGTTTAGTTTAGCCTTTCCTTGTTTTTTGTTCTTCTATACTCCAGATCTGAGCAAAATCAGCTGATAGTTGTCTTTCTCCTTCTGACTTATTTTGCTTAACATTCAGTGCCATTTAAATGATTCGCTGCTTATCAATACAATCTTTCCACAGAAAACATCTTTAGGATGTTCAGGCAAATTTAATTTTTCTGTTCCCTTTGATGATTCACAATTTTAATACAAGCTTCTAGTATCAGTCTCCACATTTGTGTATGAATTCATAGCTTTCAGCCAAAATTCTAACATTATTAAGAGCGGCCATCTGTCCCTTTCTCACAAGGGAAACTTTTCAAACTACATTAAGCGATATGACTTTCCTTCAATGCCCAGCCAACACTGTAAATTATAAACATTGATACAACTGTTCTCTTAGGTCCTTCTATTAGCACACTGTTAAGAACAAAAACTCATCATCTGACAAAACATGTAAATATGTAATTTAAAAAGTGAATTGTCCTTGAACACAACAGAGGATTATTCAGTTAATACTTTACCAAAATAATTCTCCTAATAATTTTATTCATGAATAAGCTCTTGCCTTCCAATGCAGCTAAAAGGAATACTACATTCTAGTACATTATTTACTCGTAAACCTTTTGCTATGTGGTGTCTCATCACCAGTGCCATGAACACATAGATGTTCCTGTATCTGTCAGCATTCCCTAAACATCAGTTTAAGTAATGTGTCACATAATACATGTATTATATATTCTATACATAAGACAACAAACCTATGACAAGTTACTTGGAAGAAGAATGAAAAGGTTTAAGGTTTTGCCTGGAAAGGGGGAGGAGCTGAGGGGTGAGAACAATGTGGAGAGGGTACACCAGTGTCCAGTGGCGGACTTGGGGGGGGGGGGCTTTGGTGGTGGGTGCACTATGGCAACACAATTGAAGGGGAGAGGGATCTTATATGCCAAATATAAGAAACAATGTAAACCAATGTTACCCCCATAAAAATAAATTTAAAAATCACCTTAGTAAAAATATTAAAGAATTTGACTATAAGGAATATTGAGTATAAATAAGGGAATCACATGTCCTTGTCTAGAGAAAAGAAAGTTTATAACCCAAAGGTGATTTGACATATTTACCAAAATGTATTATTATAAACTAAACATTACAGGATCATTTCAAACTTGGTGAGATTCATGGTATCTCTTTTTTAAGTAATGTGATAAGTACACATATATGCTAATGTCACCAAACATTTTAAGATATAAGACATAAAGGGAAGAATAAAATGCATTCAGTATGCAAAGAACACTTTTTTCACTAAAGATTCAAAATAAATGTTAGCAAGTGATTTATCAAGGAAATAGAATTTTACTGGATGCCTTATTATCACATCATGAGTCAAATCCTTTCTCTTTCTTTCCCTATAAACTACTATCAATAATTCCGAGCCTAAATTCTCTACTCAGGTTGAACTTGCTTGCTTACAATGCTCATTCCTGAAACAGGATGATACAAAGTTCTAAACGTTCTCTGTGACCTGTAGTTTTCTTTCCCCTCTAATCTCTTGTATCCAAACTCTTCCAGGCTCAATACAAACCTCTGCAAGGTCCAGTGAATTCTTTCTTTATAGCCCCACATTTCTCTGCTCTGCCTTTTATTCTGAATGAACTTACCTCTACCATATCAATTAAAATATACCAAATAGCAAAATGTATACTAATTTTTTCATGTTTTTTTTTTAATTTTAGAAACTTATTTAGAAGAACTGTAAGTCTGCAAGGTTCAGGAATTTGTCTTTTATGTCCAAATTACTGAATGAATACTTGGAAGGTGTTAATAAGCTAGAGGATAAAATGCAGTAACTAAGCAGCAATGTGACTTGCAAAATAACAGTTCAGAAATTAACTATTTTTTATAATATCCTCATAACATTATGTATTTTAAGAACCCCCAAACTTGGAAAAATGTAAGTGAATCATTTAGAAAAATTTTATTTTTATTATGAAAATTCTGATTATGTGTGTGTGTGTGTAGATAGATAGCTATAAACCCTCAATGAATCCTAAAATAAACAAGGAAACTAAACTAAGAATTTGCCTTTTCCTTTATTTCACTTCTCTAGAGTTAAGATTTTAAAAAGAGAAAGTTCTATTTTAAGTTTTTACAGTTTATGTTACCTTGTTAATAATTTTTTAAATAAAAAATTTGAGCAAAAACAAAAGAATATACAAAAAGAAAAAGTTTCTTAAAGAAATAGTCCATAGCTCTCTATACCAAATTCATCTCTCTCTAACTATAAATGTGCCTGTTTTTCACAAATGGCAACCTTTTATATACACTTTTCTGTACCTAGCTATATAGCCACACTCAATACTCCCTAATAAATTAACATACAGAAATGTGTCATAGCTTTTAAAAGTTGTGAATTGGCCCTCCCTGGTGGTGCAGCGGGTTAAAGCACTGCACTAAGAAGCTTAAGCCAACTCCTCATGAGTTCGATTCCCGCCTGCCCCGGAGGAGATCCACATGGCATGGCAGACCTCTCCTGACCCGCCCGCTGCTCCCCTCAGCAGTGTACTTTGTCGATCTGCCTGTTCTGCTCCGCACTCTGTTCCTGGTGAATCCTCTCACCCTCTGCATCTCTGGCCTGTACCCCAGTTCTGTATGGATAAATAAATAAATCTTTAAAAAAAAAAAAAAAGTTGTGAAGCATTTAGAGCCCTCCCTGGTGGCACAACAGCTTAAAGCACAGCACTATGAAGCTATTTACAGCCCCTGCGGCATGAATTCTATCCCCAGCCAGGGAGGTGACCCACAAGGCTAGGAAGACCTCTCCTGCTGCCTGCTGCTCCCCTCAACAGTGTACGTTGGTCTGTTCTGTTCCCCACTCTGTCTCTGATGAATCTTATCTCCCACACCTCTGGCCTGTACCCTAGTTCTTGTATGCATAAATAAATAAATCTAAAAAAAAAAGTTAATAAAGAATTTAATTGAAAGATTGACTCCATTTTATTAGCCAACCCCAGAGTCAACCCCCTCCCCACCAC